GCGGGCAGCAAGGCAGGCCTCAGCAACTCGGTGTGAGGCTCGCGGCCATGCCAGGCGGCGGGAGGGCTGGGCGCACAGGAGGAGACAGCGGGGCTGGGCAGGCAGGGAGGGCTTCCTGGAGGAGGCGCCAGTTTCCCATTTGCCCCAAGTCTGAGACACCCCTCCCTCCAGCCAGGTCACCTTGGAGCCCTGGTCCCTCCACCAGCTGCACCTGGTTGCCCCCCTCTGTTTTATGGCTTTGCCCCAATTCTCCACCCAGCCTGTTGCTGGTTCAGGCTCCACTCCCCGCCGCCACCTCCCCCATCCACACTGTGGCAGCTGGAGTCACTGGGTCAAAAACAAAAGTGCACCCGAGTGATCCTACACTCCACCTGGCTCCGAGCCCCCGGCCCTAGCCTGCCGGAGCGGCATCGTCCACTCCCCCTGTCCCTGGCCCTGGGGGCTTCTCGAATGCGGGCCCCAGGCTCCACCTCCATACCAGGCTGCTCTCTCTTTGTGTGCACAGTCCTGCTCCCCCTGTGAGTTCCAGCTCACTGTCGCCTCCTCCAGTGAGTCTCAGGGGTAGCCCTCAGCCCTCAGGAGACCCCGAGGTCACTGTGTGTCCCTGGCCCAGCAGGCCTGCTGCTCCATGGGGTGACCGAGTCCCTCCTGCTTGGGGCTCCGGGGGCGGCGGTGACGGGCGGGTGCCTGTGTGGGTAAGCGAGAGAGGGGTCACCTCATTCCTGTCCGACCCCGTCCAGGCCCATCTGTAGAGTCCTCTGTAACGTGCTCTCAGCCGGGCCAGGCAGGGGGCACCCCCAAACTTTCCCGCTCAGGGGATGAGGCGGGAGGCAGGCCGTAGAGTTCAGAGAAGACCCTGTGGGCGGTGGGTGGGTGCAGAGCGCCCCCTGGTGTTTGCCTGCTGCCCCGCGTTCCTGGCTGAAGTGTGGCAGTTCTGGGCAGAGGCGGGCACAGGTGGGGGACGGGCGGAGGGGGAGGCCTGGCCTGGATGCCTGAGCCCCTCACTGAGACACCCCCTCCCCAACCCCCACTCCCGGCCCTCGGCAGCTCTGGACACGTCCAACGTGATGGTCAAGAAGCAGGTGTTTGAGCTGCTGGCCGCCCTGTGCATCTACTCGCCCGAGGGCCACGCCCTGGCCCTGGACGCCCTGGACCACTACAAGGTGAGCGGGGGAC